CTGTGTGTGTGTGTGTGTGTGTGTGTGTGTGTGTGTGTGTGTGTGTGTGTGTGTGCATGCTCCAGGAGCAACGTACAATGCTGAATAATTCCATGAAGTGTGTAAAATCTTATTTAAACACAGGATGCATACATGTTATCATCATTATCATCGTTTATCGTCATCATCATCATCATCATCATCATTGCAATCATCATCATGATCATCATCATGACCATCATCATTGCAATCATCATCTTCATTGTCATCATCGTCATCATCATCATCATCAGCAGCAGCAGCAGCAGCAGCTGGAGCAGAAGCAGCAGCATCACTGTTAGGTCCTAATATGAGCGTATTTCTATAATGAAAATGACAGTTTCGATTCATCTGGAAGGGACAAATGTGTCCTTGTCTTTAACTGTGGCAGTATTGTTATAAAGTTCATTGTGAGACAGCGTGGTGAGGTCAGGCGCTCGCCAATATAATGAAATCGAAGAAATCAATATTTGTCCGGTGTTGATTCTTTTTAATGAATTTTTTGTTTTGGCCTAATGCCTTTTATGTTCATTTAGAAACACCTTTTTACGTGTGGATTTTTATTGTAAAACGTTGAAAAAAGCACAAAAAATGTCAGTTTGTAGTCTCCAAGCACTCTAAAGCTTTTGAAGTCACTAAACTTGGTTTTGGGTGGCCATTTTCTTGCAAATTTTACCCCTGACACCAGGCAACCCCTACCTCCTTCAGTCACAAATATTTCAACTTCTGTTCAAGACAGGTGGGTATTTTTTTCACCGAGAGAAAGAAGATAGACAGATAGGAACTAGCTTTAAGATTATACGAATAAGTCGACATGCCCAAAAATTGACGAGCGCCTGATTTCACCGCGTCGTCATACACGCTTGTTTTTTAAAAGAACAAAACGATAACCGGTATACTGTTCATCAAAGAATCTCTCATCTGGAACTACTTTCAGAACAGAGGAAGGAGGTAGAGCATAGTAAGTGGGTAAACACTACGGCCGAGGCGTACGAATACCTGATCAAGCACCAGGACATCCTGGACAGATACAGGGACGGCTGGGATACCACGGACCAGTGGGTAAGTCATGTGGCACTGTGGCACTACTTTTTATTTAAACATAATTTTAATTTACTATGCTGCTCACCCCCCCCCCTCCCCCGAATCTTTGCTTGAGATTTCTGCAGACCAGCGATGAAACAATTTTTTTTTAAAATGTTGACCCTTTAATAAGAAAATGTATCTCTTTGGGCCCTGTATTAAAAACCGCTCTTGGGATGCATACTACACACGATTAATAAAATAAACGACTTACAGTAATATTGCTACAAATCGCTCTTTTATAAATTTTTGAGACAACGACACCACCCTGCCCCCACATTTCAGTGTTACCTTGTAGATGTCATCCCCAGACTGTCAAAACGGCTCCACATGCTCCACGCGAGTCTCGAAAAATACTCACACCGTTTCTTGAATCGTGTTTCTCAAGCGAATGTTAAAGAGTGGTGTACAGGAAGATAAATAATGTGTCAACTTTTTAATGTTTTAGGTGCATGTTGTAAATCCCCTACTATTTTGTTGTACTCGCTTTAAGCTTACATCAAAGAAAACGTTTCAGAACCTTAGTTTGCAGTGACTTTTATGAATGGCCTTTTAGATTCTGTTGGTGGCTGAACTTTAAACCCGCATGCAAAGACCCTGAAAGATTAAACAGAGCGATTTGTTTTTATCCCGTTTTAACCGCAGTCAGACGAAAGTGGACGAGCTATACCATCACTACCACTATCACCACCTTCTCCCATGGCTCCTATCAACCACCATTATCACGACCACTACCATCATCACCACTACCACCATCGTCACCTTTCACCACCACTACCACAACTACCACCGCTCCTA